TAAGGAATATTGTGAAGTAGATTAGTCCATTTCAGACCCCCAAACATACATGTACAAACGCACTTACATAAATACACTTACATAATTGGTCGCATTCAGAGGTGATCGTTATGCGGGGGTCCACTGTATATATATTATATATATATATATATTATTATATTATATTATTTTTTTTTTTTTTCAACAAGTCGGCCATCTCCCACCGAGGCAGGGTGACCCAAAAAAGAAAGAAAATCCCCAAAAAGAAAATACTTTCATCATCATTCAACACTTTCACCACACTCACACATTATCACTGTTTTTGCAGAGGTGCTCAGAATACAACAGTTTAGAAGCATACACATATAAAGATACACAACATATCCCTCCAAACTGCTAATATCCTAAACCCCTCCTTTAAAGTGCAGGCATTGTACTTCCCATTTCCAGGACTCAAGTCCGACTATATGAAAATAACCGGTTTCCCTGAATCCCTTCACTAAATATTACCCTGCTCACGCTCCAACAGATCGTCAGGTCCCAAGTACCATTCGTCTCCATTCACTCCTAACACGCTCACGTACGCTTGCTGGAAGTCCAAGCCCCTTGCCCACAAAACCTCCTTTACCCCCTCTCTCCAACCCTTTCGAGGACGACTCCTACCCCGCCTTTCTTCCCCTATAGATTTATATGCTTTCCATGTCATTCTGCTTTGATCCATTCTCTCTAAATGACCAAACCACCTCAACAACCCCTCTTCTGCCCTCTGACTAATACTTTTATTAACTCCACACCTTTTCCTAATTTCCACACTCCGAATTTTCTGCATAATATTTACACCACACATTGCCCTTCAACTTGTTGAAAAAAAAAAAAAAATATACACACACACACACACACACACACACACACACACACACACACACACACACACACACACACACACACACACACACGCACGCACACACACACACACACACACACACACACACACACACACACACACACACACACACACCACACACACACACACACACACACCACACACACACACACACACGACGCACACACACACACACACAACACACACACACACACACACACACACACACAACACACACACACACACACACACACACACACAGTCCTCTCCTCACTTAACAACAGAGTTTTCGTTCCTAAGACTATGTTGGTAAACAAATTCTTTGCTGAGTGAGGAGCATATTATAATGGTAGTGGGTTTGTGTCATTCATCTTTGATATTGTTTTAATGTCACCTTTGCACCATTTATAACATTTCTAGTAAATTTTTAAATGTTTATTTAAAAATACATATATATATATATATATATATATATTATATATATATATATATATATATATATATATATATATATATATATATATATATATATATAAACAAACATACAGTGGAACCTTGGTTTACGAGTTTAATCCATTCCATGACCTAGCTCGTATCCTGATCTGCTCGTTTACCGAGTCAATTTTCCTCATTTAAATTAATTGAAATGCCATTAATCTGTTCCAGTGGAATTGTTGCTCTCAGGAGGCAGGACAAAATATTTTCAATGTAACGCTAATATCATCTCTATAGCTTATTTATCTATCATAATTGATCTAATATGACATAATAAACAATATAAATAACATAGAAACCTGATATATATACTCTATAGTGAATAAAATATGTCATTATGTGACAAGTGGAGGCAGCCATTCCCGCTTCCACATTGTTGTGGTATTCACTACCATCTAATGACGGCCTTTTGAAGCTCACTTGTTTTTATAGTACGTATTATTATCATTAACAATACCACGGGCGGGATTTGAACCCGCGGTCAGAGAGTATGGTTTGTTTGCAATCGTGTCATTACGATTTCGTGAGTCATATTATTATTATTATAGTATTATTATTATATGTATTATTATTATGATGGTGGGGAAGCACTAAACCCATAGGATTATACAGCACCTGTGGTGGGTTTAGATCTCCAGATCTTACAAAAATAAAAGTGATATAATTGTAGTTCATTGTTGTGATGTATTATATTGTTTTTACTGCTTAAGACTATAACTGCAACAGAAATAATAGTATTTCTTACCTTAAATTGTGGATGCTGGTGTTTGTGGATGATTGTTAAGAGAGTGGAGAGTTATGTTGTGGCCCTACTGGGCTGAGGTGGATGGTAGAGGTTCTGGTACTGAAGTTGATGGTTGTACTGGAGTGTGCATAAATTTTGTAATAGATTTCTGTTCTATTTCACCTTGCAGTACATTATACAACTGATGGTAAGGCATCAGCTGCTCTAGACACCATTTCAGGGTCCTCTTCAGTGAAAAAGTCTAACATTAAGTCATTCAGTAAGCCAGTCAAATCATTCAGTTAGTCAAGTCAGTGAGTTAAGTCATTCATTCACTCAGTCAAGTCAGTCAGTCATTCAGTCAAGTCAGTAAGTCATTCAGTCAAGTCAGTAAGTCATTCAGCAAAGTCAGTAAGTCATTCAGCAACACTGGTATGCCTAATGGATATCATGATTGCTTGGCAGATACAAGATATGATAATTAAAAGATCAAAACAATTCACAAACACAGCTAGCTTGTAGGAGAGAAGTGGAACAGAACACGTAAGCTGAGATGATGGTGTCAGAGTGTCGGGGGATGGTGGGAGGTCTCCCCCTCTGACCCACAACAAGGCAGCCGCTTGAGGTAGGGAATGGCCGCCACTACTTGTCACATCATGACATATTTTATTCATTCGAGTATATATCAGGTTTCTATGTTATTTATATTACATCATATTAGATGAATTGTGATAGATAAATAAACTATAGAGTTGATATTAGCATTATATTCCTGCCTCCTGAGAGCAGGACTTCCGCTGGAACGGATTAATTGCATTTCAATTAATTTAAACAAGGAAAATTGACTCAGTATATGAGCAGATCAGGATACGAGCAAGGTCGTGGAACAGATTAAACTCGTAAGCTGAGGTTCCACTGTATATGAATGCACATACTGTATCTGTATTTGTGTACTGTAGTCAAAAGATAATTGTGGTTACATGTGGTAAACCACTTTCTATGAGTAACTTGATCATAGTCTTGTAAGTTAAATTTCAACTTTTGTTTCTTTCCCAGACATGAGTGTACTATGTGCAAATTAGAACATGCAGCAAACCTTTCTTGTGAATCTATTAGGAAAGACCAGGAATCAGCCAGTGATCAAATTTCCGAGAACAGACCTCCTCCGGAGTTCAGTGAAAAAAGCCAGGTATCAACCATAACAGTACATGCTGACAGTTGGTTTTTCTCCAGTTATAACGAGTTACACCATCTGTCAGTTGTAAAGATTCCTACAGAGAATAAACTTGTCTTTGAATCTTATAAGTTAGGTAACATTTTGCCTAGGGTAGAGTTCTACGAGACTCAGCTTATACCCAAACCTAAGGTAACAATTAGGCCATTAAAATATCTAGAGCATAAGAATGCATTTCCTTGTATCAATATTTCTGTATATGATATCAATATTATTGCCTGTGAAAATTTGCGATAAGTCAAGCCAAAACAATTTACCAGGTTTTGAATCTAATAAGGCTGGGCAGATATTGAATAAAACACAACTTACTGCAGAGGAATGTAATGAACCAGGAGATTTTAAGGACCACAAGAGTTATTATGAATAAACCTGTTTTAAAATCTGGGCAGAGGTGAGGTCAATTGATCCAGAAATTATTGCAAATATACTTAAGCTTGTATCAAATTAGGCAGAGCAGATGTTAAATGGCAAAACATTCACACTTGCTTCAAAAAAACAAATCAGATGAATTAACCCTTAAACGGTCCAAACAGATCGACGTTCAGATTCATAGTGCTATAAAAGTTGATCTACTTTTTTTTTACAAATTTTCAAATATAACAAAAAATAATGCAGATAAAAGTTTTTTACACGTTTTCAAATGTAAAACAAAAAAGATCTACATTTTTTTACATACTTTCAGATGTTGAAAAAACGTATATATACGTTTGGACCGTTTAAGGGTTAAACAGGCCTGGTCTGAGCTAGAAAAGACTACAACAAACCATGTTTCAGCCAAAAATAATACACAAATAACCCGCACATGTGTAGTGTAGTGTATGTTTCAGCCAAATATTCCCAAGACTGGCCTCCCTCCTTGCTGACAGCCCCACCTTTGATACAGACTCCCTCTTTGACTTTTTGACAGTAACTGATTTTTTACACAAATTTTGTTAATACTTCCTTAAGCACTCCTCATAGCCCTTTCTAACTCTCCTCTGTTATCCTCTCCACCCTTGCTATTCTATGATCCTGCACTATCCCCTGCCCTGCTGCACTATGACCCTTGTAGGTTAGCGCTTTCTTTAGATTATAATAATACTGTAATCCAAAGCTGGCCAGGTGTCAGTTAGGAAGTTTACCCTGAACCTAAATAATACATGGTACAGTGGTAACTTGACTTATAAGTTTAATTTGTTCCAAGACCCAGCTCGTAACTCAATTTGCTCATACAGTGGAACCTCAAAAATCAAATGTATCACATATCGAACGTTTCGAAAATAGGACCATTTTTTCGGACAAACTGTGTCCCTATTATCGAACGTGCCCCTATTTTTGGACCGCCGGGTATGGGACCTGTCTGCCGCCCGCTCTGTCCGCGTCCCCGCGCAGGCACCGTGAGCAGTCTAGCTTTGTTTATGCTTGAGTGAACACTAGCCTGCGCTCTCATTCACTCATTTTACGATTATTTCGTTGTGTTTAGTGCTTGTGGGACTGTGAAATGAGCTGCCATGGGCCCAAAGAAACTTGCTAGTGGTACCCCTGTGGTAAAGAAAGTGAGAAACGCCATAGATGTGAAGAAGGAAATAATACAGAAGGATGAGAGTGGTGTGAGACTTGTTGAGCTTGCCAGGATGTATGGGAAAAACAAGTCGACCATCGGTTCTATCCTGTCAAAGAAAGAACAAATCAAGGAAGCTGATGTTGCAAAAGGTGTTAATATAGGGAGTGGATGAGGTGCCTTCTTCAAAGATTAAGGAGATTTGTGCTAAGTGGAATGATGTCCAAATGTTTGTGCAGAAGTACCACCCTGAGCAAGCTGAAACAAGCCATCTTTGCAACAAGTTCAGTGACAGAACCATGTCCCATTTTAGGGAAATGTTAAAGAGGCACCAGAAACAGAGGACTGTGGACAGTTATTTTGTGACACAGGGGTCCAGTGACTCTCAAGCTGGACCTAGTGGCATTAAAAGACAGAGAAGGGAAGTAACCCCAGAGAGGCTTTACCTGAAGTCCTCATGGAGGGGGATTCTCCTTCCAAACACTAACCCCAACTCCCTCTCTCCTCCTTCCTATCTTCCAGATGCCATCACCAATCTTCAATAACGGTAAGTAAAAATGTTATTTTATATGTATTGCTATACATAATTAAAAACTATAGTATTTGTTGTATGTAAAACTGTAATTAATCTCTATAAAATGTATTTTCTGTGTGAATATTTTTGGGTTTCTGGAACAGATTAATTGTATTTCCATTATTTCTTATGGGAAATATTGCTTCGAATTTCAGACTTTTCGAATTTAGAACTAGCTCCTGGAACGGATTAAGTTCGATTTTTGAGGTTCCACTGTATATCAAATCAATTTTCCTCATTGAAATTAATTGAAATGCCATTAATCCATTCCGGTGGAATTCCTGGCTCTCAGGAGGCCGGAGAAAATACTTCAATATAATGCTAATATCAACTCTGCGGCTTATTTACCTATCACAATTGATCTAATATGACATAATAAACAATAAAAATAACATAGAAACATGGTATATACAGTGGACCCTCAGTTAACGACGTCATCAGATAACGTAAAAATCGGATAACGACACATTTTTGCATCAAAATATTGGCTCAGTTAACAACAAAGAACTCGGTTAAAGTCATTCGTCCCGAGCGTGTCTGCACGGCCTGAGCGGCCCAGTCACTCCATGTACGGCCAGTGTGCCATTGTTGACAAGCCAGTGAGAACGATTCCATGCATACATTTTGTATTATTCCATTGTTTTTAGTGCTTGTAACTACTAAATAAGCCACCATGAGCCCAAAGAAAGCTTCTAGTGCCAGCCCTTTGGTAAAGTGGCTGAGAAACACTATAGAATTCAAGAAAAAGTTGGTAGAAAGATATGAAAGTGGTGGTGGTAGTGATGGTGGTATGCCAGCCAGGGTACTTCCCCACATACCAGCCAGGGTACTTCTCCACATACCAGCCAGGGTACTTCCCCATACACCAGCCAGGGTACTTCCCCACACACCAGCCACAGTACTTCCCCACATACTAGCCAGGGTACCTCCCCACACACCAGCAAGGGTACTTCCCCACATACTAGCCAGAGTACTTCCCCACATACCAGCCAGGATACTTCCCCACACATGATTTCATTTGAGTGGGACTTGCACATGAGTGAATAGAATTATCAAAGCTTATTGCTTGGGAAGCATTGAAAATTGGGTTGGGCAAATATGATTCTGTTAGTGGGATGGTTTGTGAAGGACCTGCCTAGTATGGGCCAACAGGCCTGCTGCAATGTTCCTGTTTTCTTATGTGGATGAACATCATCCTGACACAGCTGTTGCAGGCCATGCTGGCAACATCTACAATGACAATGTTGTGTCCCATTTTACGGAAAATTTAAAGAGATGCCAGAAACAGAGCTCTCTGGACAGATATTTAGTGCCACAGGTGTGCAGTGACTCTCAAGGTGGCCCTAGTGGCATTAAAACACAAAGAAGGGAAGTAACCCCTGAAAAGGACTTGGTGCCTGAAGGCTTTATGGAAGGGAATTCCCCTTCCAAACAATAGTACACCTCCATCCTCTCCCCTCCTCCCGTCTCATCACTCATTAATGAGTCTTCAGTAATTGTTTATTCCGCATGAACTGTATGCAAGGGTTCTAAAGGAATGTAAAGAGGAGCTTAGCACACCTTTGGCTAATCTTTTCAACATATCACTACAAACTGGCATGGTGCCAGATAAGTGGAAAATGGCAAATGTGATACCTATTTTCAAAACAGGTGACAGGTCCTTAGCTTCGAACTATAGACCAATAAGCCTAACCTCCATAGTGGGAAAATTTATGGAATCAATAATTGCCGAGGCAGTTCGTAGCCACCTTGAAAAGCATAAATTAATCAACGAATCTCAGCATGGTTTTACAAAGGGGCGTTCCTGCCTTACGAATTTATTAACTTTTTTCACTAAGGTATTTGAGGAGGTAGATCATGGTAATGAATATGATATTGTGTATATGGACTTCAGTAAGGCTTTTGACAGGGTCCCACATCAGAGACTATTGAGGGAAAATTAAAGCACATGGAATAGGAGGAGAAATTTTTTTCCTGGATAGAGGCATGGTTGACAAATAGGCAGCAGAGAGTTTGCATAAATGGGGAGAAATCAGAGTGGGGAAGCGTCACGAGCGGTGTTCCACAGGGTCAGTGTTGGGCCCCCTGCTGTTCACAATCTACATAAACGACATAGATGAGGGCAAAAAAGAGCGACATCGGCAAGTTTGCCGATGACACCAAAATAGGCCGTCGAATTCATTCTGACGAGGACATTCGAGCACTCCAGGAGGATTTGAATAGACTGATGCAGTGGTCGGAGAAGTGGCAGATGCAGTTTAATATAGACAAATGCAAAGTTCTAAATGTTGGACAGGACAATAACCATGCCACATATAAACTAAATAATGTAGATCTTAATATTACGGATTGCGAAAAAGATTTAGGAGTTCTGGTTAGCAGTAATCTGAAACCAAGACAACAGTGCAATAAGTGTTCGCAATAAAGCTAATAGAATCCTTGGGTTCATATCAAGAAGCATAAATAATAGGAGTCCTCAGGTTGTTCTTCAACTCTATACATCCTTGGTTAGGCCTCATTTAGATTATGCTGCACAGTTTTGGTCACCGTATTACAGAATGGATATAAATTCTCTGGAAAATGTACAAAGGAGGATGACAAAGATGATCCCATGTATCAGAAACCTTCCCTATGAGGATAGACTAAGGGCCCTGAAACTGCACTCTCTAGAAAGACGTAGAATTAGGGGGGATATGATTGAGGTTTATAAGTGGAAGACAGGAATAAATAAAGGGGATGTAAATAGTGTGCTGAAAATGTCTAGCCTAGACAGGACTCGCAGCAATGGTTTTAAGTTGGAAAAATTCAGATTCAGGAGGGATATAGGAAAGTACTGGTTTGGTAATAGAGTTGTGGATGAGTGGAACAAACTCCCAAGTACCGTTATAGAGGCCAGAACGTTGTGTAGCTTTAAAAATAGGTTGGATAAATACATGAGTAGATGTGGGTGGGTGTGAGTTGGACCTGATAGCTTGTGCTAACAGGTCGGTTGCCGTGTTCCTCCCTTAAGTCAATGTGACCTGACCTGACTAGGTTGGGTGCATTGGCTTAAGCCGGTAGGGACTTGGACCTGCCTCGCATGGGCCAGTAGGCCTTCTGCAGTGTTCCTTCGTTCTTATGTTCTTATGTTCTTATGTAAAAAAATTATTTTGTTTAACACTCTTGGGTATCTGGAATGGATTAATTGGATTTCCATTACTTATTATGGGGAAAATTGATTCAATAACAAAAAAAGGCACAATACCGTGACTGGACCGATACACAAATATCCTGCACATGAAAGAGAGGAACTTACGACAACGTTTCGGTCTGACTTGGACCATTTACAGTCACAGTGTGACTGTGTAAATGGTCCAAGTCGGACCAAAATGTCGTTGTAAGCTCCTCTCTTCTATGTGTGGGATATTTGTTTAAATTAATTCAAATAACGACAGAATTGGTTAAAGACAATCTCTCTGGAATGGATTAATGTCATTAACTGAGGGTCCACAGTACTCTAGAATGAATAAAATATATCATGTGACGGGTGGTGGCAGCTACTCCTAAGGTAAAAATAATTATCGCTCTGACCACATCTTCCCGTTCTTGCCCTTCTGAGGTCTTATTATAAGAGACAACAGAGTGTTTGTGAGGCTAACTGCACTAGATCACTAATTTGTTGAGGAAAACATTGAAACAAAAACGATTTACTCTTGGACCCCCCACCCCCACCCCCCGAGTCAGGAGACCGGCCTACGTTTTGGGTTAATGTCTCGAAAGTAAATTAGCGTAAATGCCTCGTGCCTTCTCTGCGAGAAGGCACAAGGCACGAAGTACATACTACGCTTGTGCTGCCTCTCCAAGTCGACTACAACACACCTCGCTCGGGTTTTTCTATTATTTCATGCTTTAATTCAATGGACATCATCATCCTCTCCTCAGCACTGTCCTTTGCACTTACTTAGGACCCATGATTGGAAAAAAGGAATTTGGCTTTGCATTTTGTGCTCAAACTGCACAAAACACAAGCACAACACAAGATAGATGCTTCCACGGTGAGGTAACCATGTGCACTGTTGTGGCGTTCACTGCGCCAACTAGTGGCAGCATCTGAAGGTCGCTCATAACTTGAATTTTGGCTTGCAATTCAGAGCAAAAAATCGACCGAGCAACGGCTTGTAACTCAGAAAACTCGTAAGTTGGGGCACTCGTAAGTCAAGGTACCACTGTGTTAAGGCATGTCAAATATCAACCAAAATAGTGTAGCTAATTATTTTAAATTGGTTTCGTTATAAATTTAATAAAATACCACACACTCCATCAAATTCTACCCTATTCAGACAAACTCCAAGCCAAATTAAAAGCAAACAAAAAATGTGAAATGCTGTGACCAGTGTCATAGCATTTCACATTGGATATGGAGGAAGCAGTTAAGAACAGGGTATCAGCTTAGATGGCCAGGTGTAAAGGAGGAATGGAACTGGTGCTTCAGGTAATTCCTTTTTGTCTCTCACTGCTCAAGGTCAACCTATGAGATTAATACACTGCTTCTTAAAAATAGGAAGTGGTACCTTGTTTTGCTATACTGATATATAGTTTGAAAGTTACAAATAATAATGGTCATTTTACAGTATAAGCAGCTAATCAAAACCAGCTAAGACAATAACAATATGAATCAATAATGAGTTTATATTAGTTGCACCAGCATGAAACAAGTCACTATGTCAGAATGTTAATGACAATATTAAAGTCATTTTGAGATTTTTTACTGTATTACAAAAAAGTCTGCTCAAGATCAATACAGATCAAGCTCACAGACAGTCTGCCTTGTTTTACCCAGTTCACCTTACTCCTGAAAATGTAGTTCCCATAAGTACATTGGTAAATTACTTGGTACAAATGTTCAGTTGGACATTGATTCACAAATTATTTACAGGGTTATTCCTTAAAGCAAAATGCATATTTTAAGTTTAGTTTGGGTGTCTACTTTATGTTCATATAATGTATGCTGTACATAGGAATGGTATTGGCTAGTTTTTGCCATCACAAACTTATTTGTCAAGTGTGGAATAAAATTTTATGTTTTCCTTTGTGCTTCATATTTTATACTGATGTGAATCTCAGTTCCCTATTACTGTGATCTCCCATATTTTGGGCTCTTTCTGTTCCTGGTGTTTTCTTAGTCTTATAGAATTTTTGTAGATGAAAACTGTCTTGTGATTTTTTGTTATACAAGTCCGATGATAATTTTTTTAATTTCATATGTGTATATTACGGTATCTATTTACAAATCCAGTCAGTAAAGAGTATGGTTTTGTGGAAACTTGTATTTTTATGTGAGTTAATAAATAAGTACAGTACAGGGTATTGTAGATTTGCTACTAAGTTTAGTAAGGCAGTGAATGTTAGTTTTTACTTGAATATTACGATAGACTATAGTACTTGACTGTTATTAATGATGGTTCTAATGGTATTAACATTTTTTATTCTTGAATGCTGATTTGATAAACACAGGCATGTTACACAAATGTTCAACTTTATTAATGAGGTTTCTAAATGTATTATATATTCATGGGGAAGCATTAAACCCTAAGGAATCTTATAGCCACTGAGGAATAGCAAGGAACTTGAGACTGATCTAAGGATGGGGAAGGTAGCTCCAGTTCTTTAGATCAAGAATAAACATCAAGGCCTTACTGCCCTTTCCCTTCCTTAAAGAGTTTCTAAAAATAAACATTATCTGCAATATGAGGGTAGAGACAATGACAATATGTTGATAGTTGGTGAAAAAGACATATTTAAAGGGTTCCTTTATATTTTAACTTTTCACCCAATGTTGGGCTTTTTCAAGTACGTACATTGTAGATAAAATGGGCAATGGTTTGTATAATTTCCTGGGAATGATATCACATCACTCCTCATGGCCTATACAAGTAATTTTCATATGTGATGTGTATTTTAAAAAGCCTAGCATTGGGTGTAACTTACAAATTAAGGACTTCTCTGCCCTTGTCTTTTTTTCACCAACCATTTTCTGCATTAGTTTGGTCATAGTTTTACTGTTGTGTCTCAACAGCTTACGTCAGCTGTGTACAGTGATGTGCATTTGGAATGTGTTGAGTGGTTCCAGACTTTTCATCTTGTGTTATGATTATAACACTGACACCCCTTCTACCCCCCCCCCCTTCCCATGCACAACACACACATGCTGTATTAAAAAACTTGCATGTCATGCCAACATTTAAATAAAAATGCATTCAAAGGCCCTAGAAGTGGACATAATACTTTAACTGAACACTAGAAGCCCATATAAATGTAATAATAATGTTAGCAGCATATGGAACATTGGTGAAAATACTGTATGAATAACCTTTAGACCCCTCAAGGATGCCCATATAAATACCTGTGTACTGCCAGTGTAGGACCTGTAACATGATGTAAGAGCTCAAGAAAGTCCACCTGTTTATTACCCAGGTATTCCCCAAGTTAAAAAAAAAAAACTTCACAAACTACCATAAATCTTACAACATTAGAGGTATGTATCAAGTAGCAGAGACAACATAATTATGATGTTCATGATACTCAAATGTTATTGACAAAGTGGAAAGGCAGTCTGAAAGGGATGAGAGCAGAACAAGGGGTCACAAATGATAATTTTTTGTTCATTGGTGTTTGGCAAAGAAGAAATGTGTGTGGTTATCAGGTTGAATGCCTTGTCAGAGGCAGTGCCAAAAAAAAAAAAAAAAAAAGATAATGATCACAAACAGTATTTAGATTCCTAGAAGATCCAAATGAAGGTAATCTTTTCTACACCCACTGGAAACTTTAAAAAAAAAAATAAACTGAAACACTGAAGATGGAACAAGTCTAGACTTGCTCTAGTAACTACAAAATGGTATTACAAACATGGGCCCAGGAACTCGAGCTTGATCCTTACAACACAGGTGAGTATATATTTATTTTTATAAATGTTCTATTACCCAACCAACATGGGACCTGGAGTAAATTACATAATTATAAATGTTTGTTACTCCAGTGGAATGCTATTTACAGTATACTAAGCTGTTTATTACAGTCAAGTCAGTAATATATGTACAGGGTACACCAAAATTATTCAAAACCTTTACGAAAATACTGTACACTGCAGTTACTTTTGTGGATTACTCTTTTAAAATACATGGTTAAATATAAATTTTTTGCACTTTAACATGACTCTTGTGGGTTTAGCACTTAAGACTCTTCTAAAAAACCACTTACTTGCCCAGGACTAAATAATCAACACTTAATATTTAACATTACCAATAATAATCCCAATTACTTAAATCTTAAAACTTCAGGACAACACACAGTAAATTGATCTTGTTTGTTATACATTGTAATGCGATAAATTTGTAAAACTATAATGATTCAACATTGAAATGTTCAGATTTCATTGTTTCAAATACTCAATTGGACTTCATATTGTAAATTGTTTATGGTAATTTTACCACTGAACCTTTCATTGATTGTTAATTTAAAGTTAATTTTAAGCCTGCCCATAATGCTCTGCATACAAGGGGCTTTTGGCATGTACACACAACTACTAAAATTTATTGTACAACTATGTATCATGTCCAAATAAACTATATGAATATGAATAATAATAATGCACTTTAACATTTAGCAAAAATTTGACCTACCTAACAATCATTTTCAACTTGGTCACATTTATCTTGCAAAGTACAGTAATCTATATTCATTCACACAAATTCCTTAAAGGATTATAACTTATGCAGATTATCTTTAGATTTTATGATGATTTTTGGTATTATATTCAGTATACAGTAAATTTATATCTGCTATTTAATACAATACCATGTTCAGTGCAAATTGTACTAAAATTTAAAAAAAAAATTCCAGTACTTACAACTAAATGTTTCCCCTTATTTTGGACCATCTGCCAACACATTAGCACCAGTATTCTTAGCTGACAGTGAATGAATAATTTGTTTTAATCTACAGTAATTCTCACAAGGAGGTGAATGTTGCTAACAAAAAAAAAAAAAAATAGGCATTGAAACAAGTGATCATGTGCTGTACCTGGTGTTTCATGCAACTGGGTCGGAGGAAAAGTTGGAAGATGGATAACAAGGTCTGTACTGTACATATGGACAAATTCATGTGTACATGTGTGTGTATGTATTACACATGTATCAGAGCAGTGTATGTACTAATGAACTACAGTACTGAATTCTATCTTGTATTCATAAATTTTACAATTTAGAGTATGTTTTATACTGAATGTCATTGATTTTACAGGACTTTCAGAGCAAAGAAAGATTAGTCCTTAAGTGCATCAATGTCTTGGACATTACTGCATTAATATATCACATAAGCCTAGTAATGGGAAATTGTGTGTGTGTGTGTATGTAAGTTTAAAGTGAAAATGTTTTAAGAAAATAATTTATAAAATAAACATTGGATGTTATGTCCAAGACCTGAGAAAAATGCATAGGAGTTGAAAAGGTAATGATTTTTGCAGACATTCCTTTCCTTTGCTCCAAGTGCTTTACATTCCGAATATATGCTCTACTTGTGCTGTGGCAGTACTATATGCTATGTTGCTACCAGTCTGGCAACACTGTATGTTTTCTAATTATTAACCCTATTAAATTTCTAACAAGAATCATGTCATCAAGCCAAGTTTTCCATACTAATGACATTAATTTAATTATGATTTTCTATACATAGCCAGATACATTGTAACTTTAAAACAGAAAATTTGGTACTGTACACAAGTTCCAGAACATACCACAATAGAAATGCTGTACAGTAAATCCTCAATTTAAGTGACTTTCGGAAATATGGGACAAAATCTGCTGGGTAAATCAATTTAGAAATAAAGTTTGGTGGTTGTAGAATTGCCCACTATTGCTACAATCACAGCAAAACATTCTCGTCTCTTTCCACGACAATTGCCATTACTGGCTTGCTGCCCCATTAATCTATTAAATTGAGGGTTTACTGCTGTAATCAATAATTTCATTTGAAAAATACAAAGGCTATAGACCAAAACTAAAACTGTATCAAGAGATTTTTCAACAAGAAAAACACTCATATGGAGCTGTAAATAAGTCAAAATGCAGAAAAGGGGCGTATTTTTGTAATTGGAGGAAAGTGATTTATTGTTTTGTATTGTAAATACATTTAAGAAATTAGTGCGCTAAATGACCCACATGAGTTAGCACTTTTTTGTGTGAATATAATAGGAAAATACTTGACATGTGTAATGATGTTAATGACTGGCACTGTTAATAGGATAATTATTTCTTTAACATACAAGAAAAACTATTCAGTATGAGAAGATATACAATTAGAAGACATGAAATACAGTACCCAAAATTGTTGGTAATCTGCCAAATCGTGCTTACAAGATTTAAAAATTATTTTATTACCTTTCTCTTTATACAGTACTCGGATTTAAAACATGCTGTAAGTTAGACAATATTTATAAATAATAAGGAAGACTAATTTACGTTACTGAACGGCTGATTATGAGACAATAGAACGAAGTGTCCTTTATGGATTACCCTGTGCCACCCTAACCTTAAGCCTTGGTACAACCCCATAGTGTCTTGGAAGAAATAAATAGGCTAATAAATATCTGTATAATAATTCTCCATGTTTTGACTAGTCATATTCCCTAGGGTTGAACTGTATTGAATCAAATCAAGACCATTTAGGATTGACTTGTATTATTGATTTTTCCACAAATTCCTTACTAGATTTGATGTAACAGCATAAACATTGGTTTTGTAAATGATGTGATTTTGCATTCAAACTTTAAAGGGTTTCCACGATCACAACATTGTTATATTGTATTACTGTAATGTTAATTAGGAAACTCATTTTAGATTAAGATATTAATCTATGTTAGCATTGTCAAGAAAATTATTGGAGTACTGTATGACCAACAATAAGTTGTCTGTATAGTTCATTTTAATGAATAGTTTTTTGTGTGTAATATAGTGCCAATAACCAGAGGAAATATCGTGTATTGTGCCTTTTTGAACATTTATAATGATATTCTGAGCAAAAGCGCCAGTAAATAAAGCAATAAATATAACTTGTTTTACTTAACACACCTGTTAAATACTGGTTAATAATTATATTTATCAGGTTATTCTGCAGTGCTCTCAGTCATGCTGCAGCTCTAAGTGATGAGCACATAATTCATCCTTTACACCCCCTATCCTAACCTATAGTAAGTACGTACCATGATTTTGCAATACAGGTTCATCAGTCTCTAGTGTCAAGGTACTAATAGGTTCTGTGTTTGTGAATCCCTATTTCATAAATCTATCATAAATTAATTTTTATCATTAAACTTATCCCTCCCCTTAATTAAGGGAGGTAACTTTCGGCTAAGTGCTCTAGACCCACACCTTCCTAACATCGACCAGATACTCCCATTCCTCTGAGGCACTACCCTTCCCCTCACCCATGAATGTAATATAAAATAATGAACCTAATCCTACCTACAGCTAGATGGGACTTTTGCAAGGATCAAATTTTATTAAAATTATTCTTATGGGAAATGTTATCCAAAGCTAGCCATCCTATATAATTTTTGAGAATGCATTACCTAAATTTCGTTAGAATTCCTTATTGTGATTTTATTCCTAATACATCTATATCCTAATCTATAAAATACTGTTCATTGAAAAACTACCTAAAATTTCATTAAAAAATTTTTTTGAGCCTTTCAATGGGGTGAAGATGCCCTGATGCTGATAAGGGGCTCTTGATCCAAGAACTGGAGATACCCTCATTTCAAACCAAACCTGATGGCCCTTTCCATGTATTACCCAGATGCTGTATAGCCCTTGTGGCTTAGTGCTTCTTTTTGATTATTATAATAATATTACCCAGATGCTGTGTTGTTCTTAACGGTTGAGTATCATTAAATAATTATATAATTTATCATATATGAACTTACCTTTAAGTCTAATTACAGTAGTTATATTTATTGAAAGCTCTATACCTGTGGGTCATGGATGCATGGTAACACTCCATGACCCATGAGGAAACAGCAGAACCTCCAATCCTAAGCTATCCATTCAAACCTATAATTAGTAGTACTGCCAAAATGGCAAAAACATTTTCATTAAAACATTCCATTTAAAAGGTTATGGCTGTCAAGGGCTCTGATCCACTGGATCATATACATCACAGCCAAAATTTCTCCCTAATAATAATGAGGTTAAAAACACTAGTGAAGCAAAAAAAAAAAATTTATTATGGCACAGAATAAGTCTTATCAGGGGAAGGAGACACTCAAAAGTCACAGATATGTACACAATAATACACTTTGAATCACATACACTCATCATACACACACACATGAACATTTTCAGTGCATGAGGCATCATTCTCACTTGGTGCAGCAAAAATAGTTATGATTTTCTAATTGGAATACAGTAATGGAAAACAGACTATTACCTATACTGTATGTCATTAATAGAAAATATCCAAGCAGTTGTAATAATATAAATAAGACAGCATTAGAAGGTGAACTTTTAAAATTTTTTACAAAAGCACATTTTTCAAATACATTTCAATTAAAAATGTATTTAAATGCAAGTACTGTACTTAAAAATGTGCAAAAAACATTCTCTTAATAGTAAAATGCATTTTAAGTTTAATTAAAACCAAGCAAGTTAGAAATCTGCATCTAGTCTTGTGTGACTCTGTAAATGGTGATTTTGTGTTTGCGTGGACTTCTGATCTCAAGCAGGGAGGTATGATGCTGCAGACAGTGCTTCACCAGGTACTTGTTTTCAAAGAACCTAGCAGAGCATACGCCACAGCCATACTGCGGTCGAAGGAGATATAGCAAACCTTTATGTCGGGACCCTATGTGTCCACTCAAAGACTCATTATCACAGAATTTGACTCGACAACTGTTACAACGGAACATGCGCAATGGAGAGTACAGCTTCAGATTAGTGAAAGGTGATGCATCAGAGATGCTCTCTTTTTCTGCAGAGTTTGTTTGAGCTTGTAGTTGTGTAACGCTAACTGGACATTCACTAACTGTAGCCTGAACTGTGGATGGTGGCGGAGGGAGCTCAGGAACACGAGGAACTGCCACAGGCTTTGGTCGACGGAATGTCCTGGTGGCTGGTGTAGGAATGATGACACTTTTGGCTACATGAGGACCCTCTGTAATGCATCTCTTGGCTCCATCCATGATCTTGCTGGCTCCTGCTACTAGACTGCTTATTTCCCTCTCTCCAATGTTCTCTTTTTCTCTCTTCTTAAAGGCCTTCCTGGAACGAAGGCCAAGTCCAAGCCGTCTTCTCTTGCGTTGTCCACCAATCTTTTCAGTCAGATCCATGAAATCTGCCGCAGACAAGCTGTCAACACGAATAGGAATGATTCTTTTAGATTCGTCATTGTGGCTTCCGTGTTGCTGTTGTGGTTGTTCTAGGCTCTGCTGATCCTGTAGCTGTTCCTGCACGTGATCAGGCAACTGTTCAAGAGTTGTCTGCTCTGGTGACTCGGGCACAAATACCTCCTCACTAGTGACAGGTGGGACACTGAAACGTAGTTCACGTTTGACACTTGGTCTTCTATTCAGTCCACTTTGGTGACGCAATATTCCTTTGCTTGATGAAGATGGTAACTGTTTATTTGGCTTTTCTTCTTGCCGAGTATCTTGCTGTTGCTTCTGGTTATCCTTAGGTGGGGGCTGGGGAGGAGGCATTGGAGACTTAAATGTTCTTCCATGTGAGGACCATGTTGCGTCCAGATTAAGTGCCTCAACGCTGCGCCTTGCATCTGTGGAAAGAGCCATAGTTCCCAATTTGTTACTCAAACCAGGTGTAGAGGTAACCCCAGGTTGGAAAGGAGCCAGCTGAGAAACATCTCCGGATGATATACTCCTCAAAGACTCCCGGCTGGCCCCATTATAGGGTCGGAATTTGGTCTTGATCATATCTTCATAGTCAGAGAAATGTAGCTGCTGCATGTGGTAAAGTAGCACTTGTTCACCGGTCTTGCCATGAGGAACCTTCTTGTTACAAAAAGGGCACTGTATTCCTACAGCATCAGACATAATGCAGCTGTTTTTCTCCATTATCTCGATAACGGATGCTCTGTGGAAATCAATAAGATGTTTTGGAAGAACTGATGTATTAAAGAACTGTGCTTGACAGATAGGGCAAAACTGAAGCTGTATATCACCACAACGATTTTCAACCATAGAGTTCAGTTCATCTTTGTGTGTCTTATGTATGTGACTCCCGAGACTTTTCTCATAGCCAAAGTAGCGTGGACAGAAAGGACAAAATATATTCCTTGGTTGATGGCCAGCATATGAAGCCAACTTTGTTGCTAAATCAGCCAGCACTGAGCCATTAAAGGGACTTGCCACCTGGGGACTTTTAATGTATGGAGAGCTCATCTCTACGTAGCCTTGAGAATGCCTATGCGATGGGGTGTGGGGATCCTGGAATGAGCGCTTTAACTCCTCACACTCACTATCACTGAGCGAGTCACGTTCCTCGTGCACACCAGACCACAGTTCAATGTAGCTGTGGTGGAGACGCTGTGACCCATTGCCCCCACCTCTGGGAGTTGCTGGAGCACTGCTGCTGCCACCTCCACCCACATGAGACTTAAGAGGCTCCTTCCTGGAGGCAGTGGGGCTAGAACTACTTGGCAGAGGCACATTCATGTACTGTGGCACTGCTATGTGGGGCCTGGATGACATCTCACATTGTGGGAAGGCTGGTGTGGACTGAAGCATGGGTGGGGCAGATTGTGGGGGCAAGGGTGTGGAGGGAAAAGTTACTTGTGTTGAGGAGCTTGGTACGTTGTCGTAATTGACACTGGACGAACCGACTGGTGCTCCGGCTGTGCATATGCTTGCATCTGTTGTTGATTGAGAGATGGTTGCAGATTAACGTAACTGTGTTCGTAGTGCTGACCATGACAATTTTGTTGATGTTGTGAAGGCATTTGGTGATGGCTGGGTTCTTGCAGTTGGTGTGTTGTGGTACCTGTGCTCAGGGCTCTGGGTCGTGACGTCTGGCTGTGGCACACCCTAGTCACCACAGCCGACTGGGTGTGCCTGAGTGCCACATTCCCTTCCCCTGATAGGGACCTCGGCTGTGGCACTGGTCCTTCCTCCACTCGCTTCCCAATGCTGGTGATGACAGAAACATGTGCTACAGTATTCCTGGGTGTCATTGCTTGGTCGCTACGCTGGGTCATGTTTTCTCGCCTTGGTGAAGCACCAGATAATGCAGAAATGCAGGGCTTAACCACAACTCTGTTGACGATGTGTGCCATGTTAGTGGTAGAACTAATTGCTTGCTGCTGCAGGTGTAACTGATGCTGCTGAGGGTGGAGACTGGTGCTCATGTGGTGGTGTGAATGGTGAGGATCGCGGTGCATTTGAAGGTGCTGGAGTTCGGCTATGTCTTGGTTGATGTTGGCGAGCACTCTGGATAGGTCGGCTTCCATGACTGTCTCGCTGCTACTGTTGCCAAACACCTCATCCATGGCTGTGGTGCTCTGACTCTCTTTACCTGCTGCTTAACACACCTGCAAAGACAAACACCTTCATTATTTTATACCCCCTGGTGTTCTATTTGCAGTAATAGTATGGGTTTGGTGGCTAATGTAAGGAAAACAATTAATACAAAATAAGCGCTAAACCCGAAAGGGTCATAGTGTTGAAGAGAGCTATGTGCTAAAGGAAGAATGTGTAGGGGTTAGAAGGGAGTGAGGTGTAGGAGTGTAAAAGGGGTAAAAAAAAAAAACTTATTGGAGGGGCGAATTATGGGGATACGCCACTCATCGTGCCATGAGTATGCATCACAAAGGCAGTATATTATTTGACAGCATGCCACTGATACACGTGTACAAATTTCTAGTAGGAGTATTTGTAAGATGCAGAAAAAAATTAAGTTAGAAAAAATAATGTTTGTTCAAGAGGTAAACCTATATGAATGACATTACTTTAAGACTGTTGAAACCTCCTACCAAACTGTTGGTTAGATAGTTAACCTGTCGGCCTGCAGTACCACTGGGTACGTCATCAAACCCAATGTGGGGACTGGTGAGCTGGCCTTACTGACAGTGTTCACCAGACTACACCTGCTGGTGACATCTAGGCCTTAGACTCTCATGGAGTACACCTGATGGTGACATCTACTGGCCTTTTGAGTGTTCACCCGACTGCCTCACGGAGTACACCTGAAGGTGACATCTGCTGACTTCAGGTCCTCGCAGGCTTCCGCAGCAGACTTCAGGGACCTGAGGGTCTCTCTCACCTCAGTTTACTGACTTCAGTTCCTGGCTTCTGTTACCTGTGAGTCTCGCCTTAGTCTGCTGACTTAAGTTACCGTTAACTTCAGTTACGTGTGATACCGAGAGTCGTGATGGGTAACCCGGTGAGCGTTGTTAGTATCAGGTGACACGGCCACAGAAGTATCCTTAAATGTAAGGGTGTCATGTAACCTGGTGAGTGTTGAAGTGTCAAATGACGCGGTGAAAAGGAAGTCAAGACTGAGGGTCATGACACAGAGTAAAGGCAGTACAAAGAGAGTGTTATGACACAGAAAAGGCAATGTTGTGGATGTACTACAGAGAATGTCTTGGAACACGGAGAATAGGTGGTGTCATGGGACACGATGTTGTGTCATGACACTGGGATTGGTAGTGTCGTGAGACACCAGAAAGCGGCAGTGACGTATGACACTGAGGCACTATAGGGCCATGATGATTTACTTTATAATTATTTGTGATTGTGTATGTGATTAGAGTAGGAGTTTAGACTCATTTTTTATGCAAAAATGTTTATAGTAAAGATCATAAATTTTAGTGTTTATTTCTATCATCCCGAACTCTCCCATGTTACTACACTGATAACAGACAAATTAAATGAAAATACTCTACTATGTAGAGATGTTAATAAGAGAACCAGTATTTGTAATAAAAAATGGAAAATAATTTTAGAGCGATTTTATAAGACCATTTTTAATGTAAACAAAATTATTATACACCAGGAAGCATTAAACTCGTACAAGTCATACTGTACCTGGGGAATGTGAGGTAATCAGTTTTGATCCAAAGGAAAGCCTTCCACCAGCATTGAGGTACTTCCATTGAGTGACACAGAACATCCCAGAAAATGACAAGAGTCGGTACTGTATTTTAAATTATCCAGTAGATTCTTGAACACTGAAATGGCGATAAGTGGCTCTCACACACAGTGGTTCAGCACACATACACAGTAGCTTCATCTACCCATCCACCCACACCCATATGACAGAAGGGATAGATTCAGAGGCGTCCCTGTTTGCAGACAATGTGAAGCTAATGCAGAGAATTCAAGTGGATGAGGATCAGGTAGGACTACAAAGGGATCTGGACAAGCTGCAAGCCTGGTCCCACAACTGGCTGCTGGACTTGAACCTCACAAAGTGCTGGCCAGACAGATACTGCAAGGAACTTGCAATCCCATTCATTGACAACTGGGACAACTTTTATAGCAAATATGATATGTATGCAAGGGATGGGGTACATCTCTCTGGGGCAGGGGTGGTAGCACTTGCAAATTCAATCGAGAGGGCCATTGCTGAAATGCCTAGGATTTTAAACTGACAGAAGATAGAGGTATGGGTGTGTGTGGGGAAACAGTCAGGTTGCAACACTAGGGTTGAAAACAGTAAATGTATAAAAGACATTCATCATGAAGTTATAAATAAAGACAAAAGATCAGGTCAGCAAATAGACAGCAGAGGGCAGCAAGGAACTAGCTCCCTTAAGGTCTACTATACTAATAGCAGGAGTGTAAGAAATAAGATACATGAGCTAAGATTAATTGCAAGTGCAGGAAACATAGATATCATTGCTATAACAGAGACCTGGCTTAATCTGAAAGATAGAGATGCCTTCTGAATGTCACATACAAGGCTATAAATTATTCCACACTGACAGGGTCAACATTACCTGGAGTTTACCTGGAGAGAGTTCCGGGGGTCAACGCCCCCGCGGCCCGGTCTGTGACCAGGCCTCCTGGTGGATCAGAGCCTGATCAACCAGGCTGTTGCTGCTGGCTGCACGCAAACCAACGTACGAGCCACAGCCCGGCTGGTCAGGAACCGACTTTAGGTGCTTGTCCAGTGCCAGCTTGAAGACTGCCAGGGGTCTGTTGGTAATCCCCCTTATGTATGCTGGGAGGCAGTTGAACAGTCTCGGGCCCCTGACACTTATTGTATGGTCTCTTAACGTGCTAGTGACACCCCTGCTTTTCATTGGGGGGATGTTGCATCGTCTGCCAAGTCTTTTGCTTTCGTAGTGAGTGATTTTCGTGTGCAAGTTCGGTACTAGTCCCTCTAGGATTTTCCAGGTGTATATAATCATGTATCTCTCCCTCCTGCGTTCCAGGGAATACAGGTTTAGGAACCTCAAGCGCTCCCAGTAATTGAGGTGTTTTATCTCCGTTATGCGCACCGTGAAGGTTCTCTGTACATTTTCTAGGTCAGCAATTTCACCTGCCTTGAAAGGTGCTGTTAGTGTGCAGCAATATTCCAGCCTAGATAGAACAAGTGACCTAAAGAGTGTCATCATGGGCTTGGCCTCCCTAGTTTTGAAGGTTCTCATTATCCATCCTGTCATTTTTCTAGCAGATGCGATTGATACAATGTTATGGTCCTTGAAGGTGAGATCCTCCGACATTAAGGGTGGTGGAGTAGTGATGTATGTCAGAGACAATTTAAATTGTTGTTAGACAAGATATAAAATTAGAAGCATCAGCCACTGAATCTGTTTGGTTACAGCTTCTCGAGAGCAGTGAAAAACTAATTTTGGGTGTGATTCACAGGGCCCCAAATCTCGATAGGGAGTGTGCGGTAAACTTCTATTGGATGAAATTCGTAAGGCATCTACATAAAAAAATGTTGTGATAATGGGATATTTCAACTATAGACAAATTGACTGGAGCAATTTGACAGGAAATTTAGAGTCAAGTGACTTTGTTGATACGATTCAAGATTGTTTTTTAAAACAGTCTGTGACAGAAACAACTAGAGGAAATAACCTGCTTGACTTAGTTCTTGCCAGTAGGGAAACACTAATTAATAATCTTGAGGTTAATGATGAGCTTGGGCAAAGTGATCACAAATCACTGTTTTAATATATCATGGAATTCCCCTAATAATGGCAATCAAGTCTCTGTCCCTGACTTCCGCTTGGCTGATTTCATAGGACTGAAAAATTACTTGGGTGGGCTGAACTGGAATGACCTGACTATGGGTCAGGTAGGTGGTGATGACTGCCGATATGACGTTTTCCAGGGCATAGTTCTAGCTGCTCAGACAACCTGTGTTCCAAATAGGGAAATCATATCAAACAAAAATGATCCTAAATGGATGAATAATAGATTAAAACATCTCATTGGTCAAAAGAGAGGCATATATGGGCAAATCAGAGGAGAGGGGCAATTAAGAAATCGATATATTCAGTTAAAGAGAGAAATAAAAAAATGGAATAAGAAAAGCAAAAAGATATGAGGTTAAAGTTGCAAGAGAATCAAAGACTAACCCAAAAGGATTCTTTCAGGTATACAGAAGTAAGATCAGGGACAAGATAGGCCCACTCAAAAGTTACTCGGGTCAGCTCACGGACAATGATAAGGAAATGTGAAGAATTTTTAACACATACTTCCTCTCAGTTTTTACACAGGAAGATACTAGCGATATTCCAGAAATAATGAATTATGTAGAACAGGTTGATGAACTCTGCACGATTAGGGTCACAAGTGACATGGTCCTTAGGCAAATAGATAAATTTAAACCTATCAAATCCCCAAGCCCTGATGAACTGTGTGCAAGGGTTCTAAAGGAATGTAAAGAGAAGCTTAGCAAACCTTTGGCTAATCTTTTCAATATATCACTACACACTGGCAAAAATGGCAAATGTGATACCTATTTTCAAAGCAGGTGACAGGTCCTTAGCTTCGAACTATAGACCAATAAGCCTAACCTCCATAGTGGGAAAATTTATGGAATCAATAATTGCTGAGGCAGTTCGTAGCCACCTTGAGAAGCATAAATTAATCAACAAATCTCAGCATGGTTTTACAAAGGTGCGCTCCTGCCTTACAAATTTATAAACTTTTTTCATTAAGGTATTTGAGGAGGTAGATCATGATAATGAATATGATATTGTGTATAAGGACTTCAGTAAGGCTTTTGACAGGGTCCCACATCAGAGACTATTGAGGAAAATTATGGCACATGGAATAGTAGAAATTTTTTCCTGGATCGAGACATGGTTGACAAATAGGCAGCAGAGTTGGCATAAATGGAGAGAAATCAGAGTGGGGAAGCATCACGAGCGGTGTTCCACAGGGGTCAGTGTTGGGGCCCCCTGTTGTTCACAATCTACATAAACGACATTGATGAGGGCATAAAGAGCGACATAAGCAAGTTTGCCGATGACATCAAAATAGGCTTTCGAATTCATTCTGAAGAGGGCATTAGAGCACTCCAGGAAGATTTGAATTGTCTAATGCAGTGGTTGGAGAAGTGGCAGAT